TAGCAGTTGCTGCTGCTGCTGCTGCTGCTGGGAGACAAGAAGTATATATAACAACATAAAGAATTACTTGTCTCCTTTTTTTTTCTTAATAATAAAGAAAGAGGATAAACAAGAAAAGACTAATAAATGTATATTTACGGTGTATAGGCAGCTAATTAATATATATGTATATATGCATATACACCTTATTATATACCTACATAAGTATATATATACATATTTATATATTTATTTATATATATATTTATTTATATATATACATGTATAATAAATATATATATGTATAATATATATATGTATATATATGTACAGAGGTTACATGCGGTGACGCACACCCAACGAAACGGCGTCTTCTGCTGCTCTTGCTGCTGCTCTTGCTGCTGCTGCTTTTGCTGCTGCTGCTGCTCTTGCTGCTGCTGCTGCTGTATAATTAAAGAATACTTTTAGAGAAAGCAACTTTTAATGATCGACCCATGAACTCGTAATTATGCAGATGCATAACAGCACTCAATGCCTGCAGAAGCAGCAGCAGCAGCAGCAGCAGCAAAAGGGGAAAAAGAGGATTAAGGAGGAGGAAAAAGAAGAGAAGCAACGCATGCATGGATGGATGGATGGATGGATGGATGTAGATATATCCCTGTATATATAATTGGTAATACATATTCCTAATATGAGGGTTTAGGGTTTACAATTAGGGTTTAGGGTTTAGAGGTAATATATAAATAAAGCCTTGATTATTGTGTATAACTGTATATGTTAGGTAATATAAGTGTTTAGGGTTTAGGGTTTAGTTTATGTCTATATATATAAAAGATAGTATAATGTTTAGACCATTTAAATAAAAGGTAATAAATAGAGGATAAAGAATAATATAATAAATATAAATAATTATTTATATAGGATAAAAAAAATTAGGGTTTAGGGTGAATGAATTACTCTTTCTTCAGTCTCTAATTCCATTACACATAATTTTGTCTTAGATTGCTCATTTTTTGGCTTCTTAAAATGTATTTTATTTATTTCTCCAAATTTATTAAAAAGAGAAGAAATTTCTTCTTCTGTTACTTCCTCTTGTAGGTTGGCTACAAATACAGTCTTAGTAGGGCGGCATGCACCTTTTACATACTTCTCTACATCCTCTCCCTGAATATATATACATATATATACATATATATACATATATATATTCATATATTAGCCATCAACATGTTATAAGGAATATATTGAGGTATTATACCACTAGTCTAATGGATATATTAACAAAATTATGAATATGTGCAGCAGCAGCAGCAGCAGCAGCAGCAGCAGCAGCAGCAGCAGCAGCAGCAGCAGCAACAGCAACAGCAGCAGCAGGAGCAGGAAATGTATATAATAACTTACTCCATATCTTTGATCTTTCATAGTAAATGCAACAGTTCTTTTCTCATCCTCAACTCCTGCTGCATCTGCTGCTGCTGCTGCTGCTGCTGTTGTTGCTGTTGGTGGTAAACGAACTTCTTTATTACGACTTAATGTTACCTGTAACTCTTGTCCTTCGCATAATACTCCCTATATATACACCATAAACCCTAAACCCTAAACCCTAATAAACCCTAATTAACCCTTGTTAACTCTTATCTACCCTTATAAATACTTATACAACGTTATAAACCCTAAACACTAAACCCTAATAATTAACCCTAAACCCTCAAAGAAACGCACGAATTCCTCCTGAACCCTCATAAACCCTCATAAACCCTAATAAACCCTAATAGACCCTCATAAACCCTCATAAACCCTAAACCCTATTTATATTTCTTACCATCATAAGCTTTTGTGCAATAGTAGCATAAAGAGGAAGAGTATATTGAATAAGTGCGGTGTCTGGTCTATCTTTTAGTCTTTTTACACGAAGTACTGCACCATATAAACTAGATAAATTAAATAACTGCATGCATGCATACATACATATATATATACATATTTATTTATTTATTTATTTATTTTATTTATTTATTTATTTATTTATTTTATTTATTTTATTTATTTATTTGTATAATGTTATATACATAACATATACAATAAAAAGCAACCCCACCAATAAACACATTAATGCATGCATGCATGCAATAAACACTTAAATATAAACAATAAACAAATAAAATAAATAAATAAATAAAATAAATAATATAAATAAAATAAATAATAATATATTTATTTATTTATTTATATACTATTTGTATAATATAAACAATAAACAGGATAAATAAACAAGTATATAACATGATTATTATAGCTATAATAAATAAATAAATAAAATAAATAAATAAATAAATAAGTAAATAAATAAATAAATAAATAAATAAATAAGTATATTTTTTACCATTTGTATATTAACAGTAGGAGGTATATTATATACAATAATAACAGGTGTCTTGCTAGGGTTAGCAAAATCAAGATCTATATCCCTTAATTCTTGTGGTAATTTATCTTGTAAGAAATAAAAAGAGGAGGAAGAGGAGGAGGAGGAGGAGGAGGAGGAAGAGGAAGGAGGAGGGAATATATTATTATTATTATTATTATTCGTATTATTATTATAATTAAAAAAAGATGTATTATTATTATTATAAGAAGAGGAGGAGGAAGAAGAGGAGGAGGAGGAAGAAGAAGAAGAAGAGGAAGGAATTATACCTGTACCTCCTCTATATCCACCATAAGGACTATATAAACCTCTTGAATTATTATTATTATTAGCAGCAGCAGCAGCAGCAGCAGCAGCAGCAGCTGCAGCAGGAGAATTAGCTGCAGCAGGATTAATATGTTGTTGTTGTTGTTGTGTATAAGAATGATGATGATGATGATCTAACAAGGATGTATTAACTAAATGATGATGATGATTATTATTATGATTATTATTATTATTATTATTATTAGCAGCAGCAGCAGCAGCAGCAGCAGCAGCAGCAGCAGCAGCTGCAGCACCAGGTCCAGCAGGATTAATAGTATAATCCCATGCTTTATGTGAATTATTTTTAATAATTAAATATTTTAATTTAGATAATTGAATATTTAATAAATTACATTCATCATATATATTACGATTATTTAAATTTATTAATGCTTCTTTTATTTCTTCTTTATTCTTATATTGTATTAAATATTTATTTATTGATGGAGAACGACTAAAGCTTACTATCTGCAGCAACAACAGCAACAACAGCAACAGCAGCAACAACAGCAGCAACACCAGCAGCAGAGGATAATACACACAACTATTCCCTATAGAATGATGGGTCTTTTGTCTATACATTATTACTATATATGTATTTATGTACGTATATATGTATATATGTACGTATGTATGTATATATACATGTACAATATATGTATATGTACGTATATGTATGTATATATATATATTATATATATAT